TAAGTATGTTACTTGTTGCTTCCCTCAATGTCTTTTGAGGGTCGGATTTTCCAGTCCTACTTTCTTCATTATCTGACTTAGAAACTGCAATGGTCTCTTTCCGGTCTTCAGCAAAAAGTACCCTTTTCGTTCCCACATTCTCCAAAACTTCCCTACTATTCACATGCTCCGTCTATGGTATTTTCAGTGGAACCACATCTCCACTGCCTCTTCATCTGTGAAGAAATTGTCTGCAACAGACAGAGATTCGTAATCTGGACAGATACATATCCGTATTCATCAATACTAGTACCTGCTTTGGCTTTCTTCCCAAGGTTTAGATGTTAGTTCACCAATTTTGTCGAAATGGTATATACAAAGGCATCCATCATGCTTAAAATCTTATAAGTTGATATGGTTTAGAATTCATACCAATACTTTAATGATCAGGCACGTTTGTTTTTTGATGTTACCTGTGACCCGGACAGCCGATTCACACTCCTCCCCGATTTTTGAACAGGAGTAGAGGTATATCCCTTGCTTCCTGTTTAGGATTAGGTTTCTGGTTCCTTCTAAAGTCCACTTCCACACTTTAGTCCTAACGTCTCTGACTGAACTGTGAAATGTTATTGTTTAAATCTTGACCATTTCAAGTCTAGAGTTAGCCATTATCTTTCCTGTATAGCCCCAAGAACTTCACATCTTGCCCTTTCTTACGCTCATACAACATCACACAGTAACCCTCTACCTTGGGTGGCCCTTGGGCCTTGTATTGGGTGAATATTAGTCAAAACAAATGTTGAAAGTTAATGGTGAAACTGAGGCTATCGTATTGCCGACGTGAATATGTAGCATCCAAAAAACAACTTAAAGTTTGACGATTACATCCACTAGTACAATTACAATCGTAACACTCACTGGATTTTTCTCATTTACCACGATTAAATGTTTATATTTCTTCTATCTGTCGTGACCCTTCAGGATGTGGGAGATCATGGATCTCCACAACTTCCTGTCCTCTGTAGGTCTTAGTAAAATTTGTAGTTTTTATATCACACCTAATCCTTTTACACAAAAGTAGGTCATCCACAGCTTCCCTCTGTTCCTCTTGCTTTTACTTTGTCCTGTGAGTGTCAAAATCCCCAACCCCTCTTTCCTCATTATGAAGGTTGCTATTAATGGCCAGTCCTCTGAAGCCCACGGGGCCCATTGTAGGCATCCTCCAAGGCTCTCTTCTCGATCCTGCCCACTTTCTGCTTTATATTAACGATCTGCCTAAGAACATTTTCAGATCATTAATTACATATGAAGACGATGCTACGCTTTATAGGTACACCTCTAAAACTTTAAATGATCAAAAACTGGCAGCTAATCTTTCTTTTAACCTTGATCGCCCTGCTCAATGTTGGGGTTAGGGGGGGGCTTAGACTGGTTTGTAAAATTCAATGCCTCCAAAACCAAGCTCGAAAAGTTTCGTTATCACAGAGTAAAGCCTGGAACATGATGAACGGTTGTACTTTCGATGTCGTCCTTGTCTAGAATGTCTATTGGGACTCAAGTTCACTCCAGACCTCAACTCGGATATACGACCCATTGCTAAAGATGCTGCAAAATGGCCGGCCTCCTCGTAACCATTCCAGAAAGTACCTAAATGCTTTACAAGAGCCAACTCAGACCAAACGATGGAGAATTGCTACGATATCTGGACTGGAGATGCCCAATCCTCACTTTCAAGACTTGACAGAGTTCAAAAGCCTTTAACCAGCAGAACGGGTGATTAATTATATCCCACCCGACAACTCTTTTCCCACAGACGGGATTGCTATTTACAAGGCAGATGTTCAAACGAGTTACATTCTTTCAATTCTGTCAACCCCGACTTTCCACGCTACATAGACAAAATAGACTCATCCTCATTTTCTCTGTATTCCATTAGTAAAGAAGAAGTTCCACCCAGAGAGCTTCTGTCCGAGAATTGTTACGTTGTAGAACAGATTTCGAAAGGAGGCACCCCTGATCCCTACAATCTTAACTTCTCCAAGTCTAGTGTCAACCTTTATCAATCCTACATATCCTCATAAAATCCACCTCTTACTCCATCTTTGTACACATCAGCAGCAACTCCAAGTAGTTATCATCTATTTTGAGTGGCTCTTTGGCCTTGTATTGAGGGAACAACTGTTTAAAAAGTACGGTAGCAAGGTCTATTTGAATTGCTCGGAAACTAGGACGTTTGAATAATCCAGAATCTATACTGGGGGAACACTGGCTTACGACCATATCACGTTGAAACACCGGTTGTCGCACCAAAGTTAAACAACGTCGAACCTGATCAGCACCTGGGTGGGTGACCGCTTGGCAATACCAGGGGCTGTAAGCTTAGACGTGCCGGTGGTATCAGAGATAACGGCACGGAGTTGTTAATCGAAGATTCCAGTCGGGTTTGTTATAAACACTTACGGGCAAATACACTTGGGAAAGGTATGAATCCATCTCTTTTTTCACCAGCTATGGGTTAATTAGTAGAACTTCTATCACTAAATTATTATCTAAAAAAAGAAAAAAAATTTACAATCCCACCCGCACGTCCTAGCTTACGTCACCTGTTATTTCCAAGCGATTAGCCATCGTATTACTGACCAGGTTTAAGTTTTATACAATTCTAATCAACACTTTTTAAAACAGACATTGCCAAGGTGCGAGAACTGTTAAAGTAAACGTATAGAAATGCTAGCTACTAATACTAATGAATAATATTGATTGATTGACTCGTTTTTTACAACCCTTTGCAGATTATTTAAAGCCAGAATATATTTTTACATTCTAAGTTTTTTTTAAGATAATAATGATTTAGTGATACAAGTCTTACTAATTAACCCATAGCTGGGGGAAGAGGTGAATTTATACCTTTCCAAAGGGTATGTAAGTGAAAATAACGGACCCTACGGGAACTGAAACACAGCTCTCCAATTAACAGTTCCGAGCCATTATCCATTGCACCACCCGCACATCCACGCTTACAGCACTTGGTATTCCCAAGCAGTCACCCATCTAGTTACTGAATAGTCTCGACGTTGCTAAACTAGAGTAATCGTGCGGGAATAGGTGTTTCGACGTGATATGGCCGTCAGCCTCTTCACATATTTAGAGGGTGACTTGAGGAAACAGAGATGTGTTTCTACATTTAGATGCTGAGAATCCCATGAATGTGAGCAACGAGGACGTTTTAAGGAAAATGGAAACAAAATAGACACTTGTTCTTAGAATCAGAGAGAGACAGCTGAAACTTCTGTGTAAGTCATGTTTTTTTTTCATCATTTCAAGGAAAGTGATAAAAGCCGCTAAGACGCGATTGGTTAGGAAGAGTGAAAGAAACCGAGAAAACAATTATTGAAGAGAGAGAGAACAGTGAAAGAACAGTACTCATGTAAACAGAAAACGACGGTTGACATTGCATTTAGATTTATGAAGATCTTAGCTGAGAGGAAATCAAGAAGCTGGAAGGGAGTTCCGCAAGCGAGAATGGAACCTACGCAAATTCAGCAATTTTTTTAAGTAAAATAATGCCAAACTCGGACTGCGCTTAAATTCTTCAAGTCAAGGTACAAAAGAGAAAAACTAATCAGAACCAGTAAGTTACGTGACGTCGGTGGGAATGTAGCGGAAGCCCAGATGCCAGCTCAGTCATGTAATGTACGGACATTTCTTGTTATTTTAAAAATAATTTTCAATATACAGGTTGCGATGGATAAATTGTTGTCTATATTACGCAAAAAATCAAAGTAATACCGACATCTCATTTTAACAGATATATTTACCAAAATTACACAAAAATATCTTGTAATACTAAAGAGTAAATGTATTTTATAAAATCGCCATTGGATTCAACCAAGGTCTCCAGATGACTTCGGAATCTGTTGCAACTCTTCCGCGCCATCTCCTTGTTTAATTTGGTGAATGTTACTATAATCCTTGCCTTCAGTTCATCTTTTGGTGTTACAAGGAGTTTAGTTGGTCTCTCGCTCAACTGCGCCCCACACATAATAATCAAGGGGGTGCAATCTGGGGAGTTAGGTGATCAGATGTAAGAGGTGATGTCGCAGAAATTGTCTGACAAAAATGACTGGGTTCTCCTCCTTGTGTGATATGGTGCAGAGTCATGTTGCAAGCAGCAACCCTCTTGACCTAGAGCTGTAGTACCTCATCAGGGCACATAATGTAGGCCTCCATGTTGAGTTTGAGGCTCTGTGGGAAGATGAATGGAGGCATAACGTCACCATCACTAGTGATCACACCAAACACCATGATTTTGGCATAGATATATTATCTAACTCTTACCAAATCCTCTGCACTGTCCTCAGATTGACACCTAAACACACTGAAATGTTCGCATAGGAGCATCCAGTGTGAATGCCACGCAGTACAGCATACGGTTTCCAAATTTCTGGCGGAGTGAATTGCGTCAAGGTGCTCTTTTTTTCATAGACGATGCACAACTGACCCAACTATACTGTGCATTCGACAAAATCAAAAACAAACAACGGGCATGCGCGAAATTAAAAATATAAAATGGCGACAATTTACTCATCGCACCTTGTATTGATGAGAAAATGACATCTGGAGTGATTGACGAGTGTGAAACTTCGACATTATTCCTACCTTTTCATAATCAGGCCATAGGTATATACAACAACGCACAAAAAAAAGATGAACAAATGAAGTACATTATAAACACGTTTTGTAAGGTAAAATTGCGGTAAAAAATTGATAGAAAAGAAAAATGTTTGAACTCTCACTGCATAATCTGCCAAATGTTCACTTCCTTCAAGACAAGCCAGCTGCTTAGACTTTATGAATTTAAGTGTAGTACTAGATTGGTGGAAAGGTCTAATCTTTTTACTGCTGAAATGGGTAAAAGCGTAAGTTCTATGCTAACAGTTTCTTCTATCGCACTTCTCACTTGTGGAACTCACTTCCGGTTTCTTGCTTTCCGATCAACTTTGATCTTAAAAATTATAAGATTACATCAACTACTATTCCCAGACGGTCACCTATCTAGGTACTTACCAGGCTCGACGTTGCTTAATTTCGATGGTCGTACGGGAATCGCTGTTTCAACATGATATGTCCGTAAGCCAGTCAAAAATAGGAAAAACTCAACTGCCATAGTTGGAACAAAAATAGAAACATAAACGAAAAAAAAAATGGAGTCAGCTAACCCGTTATCGCTCGTTACGCATCAGGACTCGGTCGAGGAAAATAAAATTACTGAGCACACATTAAAAAGAAACACTAAAAAAGAAAATACACCCGTCTCAATAATATATTGAGATGAGTATATTTTTTTCATAAGCAGATCACATTAAGTCTCCACAACGAATCCTTCCACTTACAAGGGGATGGTTGTTTTAATTCAATAAAAATAGCTTCCAGGACTCGTACATGGTAATTAGAATGCGATCGGCTTATGTCAGAAAACATGTCAATGTCAAAGGAAGCAGTATTTTTTTCTGCGAATCTAAGAATTACTCTGGTTTCTCGTGAACTTCTCCACAGTTTGGATTTCAAAGTAATTCTTACTGAAAAGCTAAAGTGTCTAGTCTACCCTATTATTTAACCCATAGATGGACGGAGAAGAGATAGATTTATACCTTTCCCAAGGTGATTCATACAAAATAACCCGAACAGACCAGGCTGGAACTTAAAACTATATCCGCCTATTCTAGCTTCTGTGAACCGGTAGCCGCACATCTTCTATGTGTTGTATACCTTCAGGACATGG